AAAAATCATATTTAAATGAAAAATGCAACCATTGATAGCAGCGAACATGTGAGCAATGTTTCATTCAAATCGGAGGGGTCAAGACAAAATTAACATATTTTTTGGCGTTTTGGGCTCCATATTATCAACATGATTTCAAAAACATTATTTGTTATCATTTTGATAGTATTTTGCTGGCCGACTTTGCCCGGGTAGTGAGGCCACCGTAGGCAGTGGTTGATGAATACTTACAGCTTTTAAGTGTTCTTCACTGATACGCACTATGTCTCGCTGGCGTATAACAGTACAGCGGCCTCATTGCTCAAATCGAAACGCTTGTATGATAAAGTTTGTTTATTTATTTATTTCGTCAAGCAAAGTAGACTACATACACTGTTTACAATGTTTTATTTACATGCTATGCATTATTTCTATTTCCTCTTAGTCGAGTTTTTATTTGGTTTTTGGACATGTCAATTTCTTTGCAATTTATGTTATACATGCGCATCATTCGATCGATGGGACCATTTTTGCGTAATTTGTGCTGCATGTGTTTTCATAGAATAATTTTCGTGCTCTAAGGGGTCTAAAGGGCGCATGCAAATTTAGTTGAAAGATTATTGCTGCAGATTCTATGCGATGAGAAATAATGTCATTGATAAAGAAAAGCATTCCAAATTCACACCGTTCCTTTAGTGTTTATATTTGGATGAGCATGCAGCGTGCTTTATAGGATCTCAGAACAAAAGGGGAAGTGTAAATAAATCGGTGAATCAAAAAGTAGTAGGGGAGAACAGTACATTACGCACCCCCGGGGTAAGACGCACTTTTTCATTTTATTTTGAGTTTTTCTTGGAAGTTTTAATCCAATTCTAGGATTTATAATGCAGGATTTTGAATTCAGATGCTATGCTAGAAGTGCTGCTTGATAAGACAACAAAAAAGTTACGCAAAAGCCATGAAAAACACAAATGAAAGTCAGCTGGTGCGTTCTGCCCAGGATGCGTTGTATACCATTCTCCCCTACGTTTTTCTGCTCAACAAGCGATGCGTTGTGGTAGCGTTCCACACCGGCTTTCTATAGGCGAATCCAATAGAAACTAAGCGATCGTTTCAGTCTCTGGTGGTGAATAACGGAACCATGAAAAGAGTGATGAGGGCTGAAATTTTCGCCGTGAAGCATATGAAGAGGAAAATGTTTTTACCTTTTCTGATTAATTTATCCATCGCAGGTGTTTGTAATCATCATCCACATTGAATATTTTGTTTCCTGTATCGATTTTGCAGTGATCTGGCTGGTGCTTCCACATATTTTTGTTAAGAAAGTGAAGACTTATAAAACTATCCCAGCGGTTATGATCTTCCGGATTTTTAATGTGGTGTTATTTGAGCTGTAAATCCGTTTATACATGTGAAAAATACTAAAATAAGACCCCTACCGATGGAAATATGCAAGATACGCAAAACAATATGCATTAATTTGAAATGTAAAAAAAGTAATTTTGATGTAAACTAACGGTATGGTTGACGTTTCCTCTCATAATCGCTTAGCGCTCTCTACATCGGTGGTGCATAGAAACAGTCACTCACACTATTGGCGTCTTGCAGTGAAACTTTTCCAAGCTTTCGCCACCTACATTTCGAAGTGAGAACTACTAGAAAAAGGATAGTTTCCAAATTCTCCTCGTAAAACAGACGATTTTTGGGGCAAATCGGTACATAAAGAAAAACTAATAATTTCCGGTGGAAACTTTTGCTTGAATCGTGTAAGAAAACGTGTTTGCAAACTACTTGTTATTATGCCCCGTAACGTGGGTAGATCACCTTTTCGTGGTACGTTACGGGATGTAAGATCTACCACCGATTCCTAGTCCTAACTTCTTCAAACTAGGGGAACAGGATTTTTCAGTAATCAAAGGAACACATCTTAGTCCTTGTTACTTTTTATGCCTTGTTGATAGTGATAAGTCCTTGGGTTGCCTGGACCGAGGATGATCTTGAAACAATGGAAAAAATGAGTTAGTTAGTCTTCATCTATGTGATTCTTAATCTTCTAATCGTTGTTCCCTAGTTTGAAGTGGTTAAGACTAGGGTTCTGATGCATGGTCATTATCGGTGTCATAGCTTGTTTTTGTTGTTAAGGAATCCAATTTTGACTGACAAAGGGGCGCGCCTTTGGAGGGTGTTCCAACTCCGAAGGGTATAAATAGCGGAACCTTTCAGTTAGAATCGATTCCTTGCGATGAAGGCAAGAATGACAACTGTATCAAAACCGAATACTTCATCATTTCTCAATAGTGATGGAGTAATACGACATGCACTAAACTAAGGACACGGGATATACTACAATAGATCAAATTACTGGTCGCAGTGGTGTTATGTCCCGAACAGAGGAAAAAAAAAAAACTGTTATTATTTCGGTATGGATCGAAGATGTTTTCATGGAAAATTATGCATAACAAGTTTGCACCCACAGGTAGAGGTTACCTCCTGCGCAGCTGCATTTTTCGGAAAATGATGAATATTTGTGATTTCCACTAGGATGAAAGTGGAAATTAAGTGAACTTACTTAGGAAAGATTGTATCATGCTGGTAATAATGGAGAAATGGTTGTATAGGACGCTAATATTCAATAAATGTTAATTCGTAGACAAAAATCAACAAGCAAACTACTGCGGTTGATTTTGCAAGCTGTGATATCGCAGCTCGAAATATCACGCTGTGGTGAGATTGATGAATCTACGTTACGGTCGGCCAGCAGATGGAAATGATGTGAAAATGATAATGACGTTTTGCTAGCTGTCAAATCGTATGGAATATTTTTTAGTACATCATCACTTTTGCGGTTTTGGATTTCAAACCTAGGTGTCGCATGCACTGGTGCAGTTTAGCGTAGATTCATCAATTAATTATATGATTTGAGTAGTAGCTATACTGAAGATCCGAGAGATGTCGCCCCTTCAGTGGTAGGAAAATCATTTTTGCAGTATGGAGAATATCAGAAAATCCACTATTTGTGACTAAACATACTTTCACAGAAGGGAACAATAAGCGAGTGTTTACCTTATCACCATAGTAATGTACTCGTGCAATTTTTGTGCATCTAAAACTGCCCATAAAGACGATAATGAATAAAAACTGAAAATTTTCATGCATTTCCAAATGGTTTCCTATCATTCCCATACATTCGAAAGTGACTGGCCCTCTGGATGTGGATGATGTAAAAAACAACAAAACATGATTAATTGATGAATCTACGCTAAACTGCACCAGTGCATGCGACACCTAGGTTTGAAGTCCAAAACTACAAAAGTGATGATGTACTAAAAAATATTTCATACGATTTGACAGCTAGCAAAACGTCATTATCATTTTTACATTATTTCCATCTGCTGGCCGACCGTAACGTAGATTCATCAATTGAGTTTAATGATTTTTGATTTACTCCCGAATGCAATCGAAACTTCCATAACGGCTTGGAGCAGTCCCTTCGCGTCTGCCATCTGTGAAGATTAAAAAGAGATAGCAAACTAAGCTTTCTCTTTCTAAAAAACGATGGGAAATGGAATCATTTTTGTGTTGAGGCAACTCTCAGCTTGATTTTTGCGCGTTGTGAATAGTCTCGCAATATCAAAGGAGCTTGTAAAATCAATATCAAGCATGCTATTTTGTTCCAATATCACGCGTGATATTGCGAGCGCATGAGAGCGGAAAAATATCAATTGATTTCTGATTTTGCCAACACTGGTTTACATCATATGGGATGAAATGAATATATCTTATGAAAGTTCATCTGGAAAAGTCAAAGATGCACATCAGTCTGATCGTGAAAACATTTTCTTCTTCAATTCGAATGTTATATTGGAAGGATTTTACGTAGGCTTGATGAAAATAATGATTTAAGGCTAATTATCACGAATTAGGTGCGCTAGTATTCGCCAATGAATAGTGTTCCGAAGTTCCACTTCTGTTCTGTGATAGGATGGTAGAGGAAATGTAGTCCAATTTAGTCGTGGAAGACCATACAAAAGAAATTGGTTTTTGACAAGTTCAATGCGTTCTTCGTGGCAGTGTATGGGCTCCATACTATGTAGCAGTATTCCAGAATAGGCCTTACATTTGTAGTGTACCGTAATTTTTCAGTGTATGGGTCCTGAAAATTGTAACTGAACCTCTTAATGAAGCTCAGCATACTTTTTGATTTGCATATGATAGTGCTTTTACGCGGATTTCGGAATGTACACGGTTTTTTTTTACGCGGATTTCGGAATTTACGCGGTTTTTTTTACGCGGTTTTTTTACGCGGATTTTGGTTTTTTTTACGCGGATTTCAGAATTTACGCGGTTTATCATTATACACTATAGTTGCTTTTTACGCGGTTTTTTTACACGGTATTTTTACGCGATTTTGTTACGTGGTTTTTTTACGCGGATTTCGGAATTTACGCGGACTCCGGAATTTACGCGGTTTTTTTTTACGCGGGACGTATCACCCGCGTAAAAAGCGACTCCAGTGTAATGTTCTACAAATGTAAGTTTGGTGTCCAGTATTACGCTGAAGTTTCTTAAAATTTAGCAAATGTATGTTTATGAAAGGGGTTCTAACTTTTCTACTTGCGTTTCTGATTGCATTACATTTTTTTACGTTGGTTGGAGTAGACTTTTGCTACACCAGGTGTAGAATAGATTTATTTCATTCTAGAATGTTTCTGCGCCGGAGGCGAAGGTGAAGGAAATGTCGTTTACGTACAAAATAAAAAGAAGTGAACCCAAATGAGATCCCTGGGGGACCCCAGAGGTGACTAGAATTGGTTCTGAATGTTTATTTTGAAAGCGTACAATTTGCTTACGGTTTGTTTCATATTAATTGCTTTACATGATGAAATGTGTGCTCCTAAAAACGGAAAAGCAGTGCCATCCATTGCATCTATTTGATAGTGCCATAACTGGTGCATATGAAAATAATGAAACTGGTGCACATGAAAATAACAAACCTACACACATCTTTTCCTCTTATCTAGCACTGGTGATCCCAATGAAACGGAAGTTGACGCTATTCTCATTCTAACGGATGATTGCTACATTGTGGCCGAGTATGATTCACATTTGGACAAAATAGTCCGTTTCGAGAACGTATCCCTGGATAACATTACCCTGATCGAGCTAGGTTTGTTCCAGCACAACAAAATGTTCCAAGGCCCGGCGCCGGCTTATCTTTGCATCCGTTTGAATTACGCTGTGGATGGTGTGGATGGATATTTCCATATGTTCCGGTCTCCAAACATTCGATTTTTCAACAACGTGGCGGTGGTGATCAAGAAAACGGAAGAAATTTCGGAATCTTTAACGGCCATCGTTGATCTGTTTCGAATTGCGCTTGAGAATCGAGGTCGTACAAATGTAGCTTTTCAGTGTGGTGGAAGCTTACAACGGAGAAAAAGCCGAACGCTCCTTTCGGTACCCCAGGGTATTCCGAGGAACCTCTCTGAGTCACAGTTGGTTCAAATGGGGTCGAAAGCTTTAAGTAATGTAGCTGGACAGTTTTCAAAAATCGGACAAAGCTTGAACCCAACGAAGATAGGTCGATCGTCCGCTGGAAGGAAGGCTAAGGCTGCGAATCCTATGCCATACATACATGCTGGACAGATAGCTGATGAAGCTGAGCGAAGCAGGTTTACGTTGGGATCACGAAGTTCGAGTCTAAAGAAATCCGAAGGATCCAGTTCAGAATCAGACGAGGCGGATACTAGTATTTATGAACCGGATGAAAGTGAATTGGTACAAGAAAATCCGTTGTATAACGAAAATGTATTTCTGCCTTCAGTGGGGATTGTCATGGGAGGCACTGGATGCTCCGAAGATAATTCAACGTCGATGTTGGCGAACAAGGACAGGATTGCCAAAATGTCATCTGATGTTTCCACTATGTCGATATCATCCGTTACGGATCATATAAATATGCCGGCAGGAATGCTGGAGTGCGCATCTCCAATCCGTGGCCGCAGTCCTACGCCAGAAATTCGGGTTTATGGTGGTACTACCGAGGGAGCGGAGAAACTAATCCTCGATGGGAGAGCCAGCAAGTATGTATTAGATTATACAAATTGATTGTAGCAGTACATATTGATATCTATTTGCTTACGTTTAACAGGGATCTGACTTTGAACTTGACTGGAAACCAAAGTGAGAATGCTTTTAAGCAATTGAAAAAGCTTACAAGCCCTCTTTCAAATATTGGCAAAGGACTGCAAAGCTTGAGTGCCAACTTTGATCCAAGGAAAATTTCCGTAAAGGTAAGTTCTTTTGTAGTACCTACATATATTTATTTGTTAACTAACAGAATAGTTTACCGATAGAAAGTGTTCGGAAATACTCAAAACTGTGTGAGTTTATTCGCCTATGAGTTTTGCCTTGCAAAATTAAACTGCGCAAAAATCACCGATGAGTTTTCAGCTTGCTTTATTTTTTTTTGCGTTGTTCATTGTTATCACTTTTGTTGTTGCATCAGTGGATGGAAAACTACCTGCTCGCTTTCCGTTAGAGTACGGCAGTGTAAAAATGAATCACTTATGGGATTCTTCAAAATTACGTTTGGGATTCTTTGGAATCCCGCTTAGGATTCTCCAGAACTCCTCTTGAGATTATCTGGAATCTGTCTTGCGAATTTCCCTTAGAGTCTTCCGGATTTTTTTGGGATTGTCCAGAATCCCATTTGAGAACCTCTAGAATCCTACTCAGGATTATCTTGATTAATTCTTAATAATTATTGGGTTCTACTGCCTCTGATTACAAGTTCCAATGTTATCCCAGGACAAGTCACGATAAAATATGTTAATATCGTACAATAAAAAATCTACGATTAGGATTCTCCGGAATTTATTTTGGGATTCTTCAGAAACTTTTTCTGGATTCTCCAGATTCTTCCTTGGGATTTTTTGGAATTTCGACTAAGATCCACCGGAATCTCTTTCGAAATTTCCGTGAAGTGATGATGGGATTCACCGGAATCCCTTTTGAGAATCATCGAAATCCCTCTTGATACTCTTTCGAATCTTATTTGTGATTCTTTGAAATTACTGTTGGAATTATTCAGAATCCCTCTTAATATTTCGATAATTTCTATAAGAATTCTCCAAATCTCGTTTTAGAATTTCTGGAATTTCCCATGGAATTGTATTCTATTTAATCTTGCTTGGGATGTATCGGAATATCTCTTCAGATTTTCTTCAATCCCTTTTGGAATTCTCAGGTATCTCTCTTGGGATTCTTCGAAATTCCTCATGAAAGTCTTCGAAATCTCTATCGGAATTCTCTGAAATTCTTATTGGCTTCCATTGGTTTGTCCGGTATCGCCCTTGGGGATTTCCGGAATCCTTCTTCTCTAAACCAATACTGAGATTCCAGGTTTCAACGCAATCTTATAAAAAAAAACTTTCCCTTTGTTCTCACTAACACTATCTTCACTTCGTCATTCTATTTCGTCTGTATATTAAGGGGGTATTCCCGATCTTTTTTTTCAAAAAATCAATTTTTTTTTTTTCACGTTTTTTTGTACTTTAGACTATATACTTTCATCCCCCCAAGCCGTTTTCCGATCAGCGAATTCGGTGTGCAGGCATAGCTGACTAATGGTAAGAACCCCCAAATGGTTTTAACTAAAGTCAAAACTTTAAACGCGTTTTTCTCGAAACCACATTTTTTTTATCGGGCGAAGATTTTTCTCAGAAACTATAAGAGATATTGACTTGAATCTTTGCGCATTTTGTTCCTTATTAAATTCTTTGGAGCTTCTCCCACTTTCAGCCAAAAATATTAACATTTAACATTGTTTGAAGCACCTTAAAGCTGCAAAAAAGCGGGCTAAAAATCGCCTGTTTTTTTCATATGGCCGCCATTTTGTTAATTTGCAAGATTTTTTGCTGCCAACGGGAGAAGCTCCAGAGAATCTTATGCAGATTATAATTTCATCACGAAATCTGTTTCAGATGAAGCCGTTCCAGAGAAAAGTCTTCGCCCGTCCAGGCGTTTGCGGCGAACAGGGGTCTGTTTGCCACCATTTTGTGACGTCAATAATGTCTTTTTTTATGTCGAAAAAAATTTATTTGTAAACTTTAATGTTCAATAAACAAGAATCCCAAAGAGTTAGGCGCATTACTATTCATTTTCCTTGAAAAAAAATTAATTGAAAAACAGGCCGAAAAAAGGCAAAAGATTGGGAATACCCCCTTAAGATTAACCCTCGGATTAACCCCATTCCGTCTCGCACACTGAGCCGGTCAAGTCGCATCGGTCTCGTTGTACGACACCATCATTTGAGTTTCGAGTTTTCCCCCACGCGAGGGTTTTTTCTCGCCAAAGTTAGTTGGCATAGTGTTAAGACAACTAGTGCGCGAGTGAGAAAGCCGTTAATGATATGCCGAGTGCTTTCATTACGGTCCAGCTTTAACCGAGCATCATCGCAACATCGTCAGCAAAATCATCACCACTATCGGTACATCACCCCATCGATAGCAACAACGAAAGAGCGTCATATTGCCTACCGAGTCGACCAAGGCACACCAGCATCGAGGTTATTGACTCTGCAGCCGTTGGATCAAACAATTCAAGAGCAAATTTTCATTACGTCGAAAGTAACAAAGGTAAACAAAGTCGAGCTATCAGTGTCAATCGATGCTCCTGCTATTACACTATATACTGTCCGAATATACACGGTAAGAAAAAAGTACCCAACGGCCAGTTCACTTTTACCTACTTTTGACTAGTTTGTCTCCTTTTCTCCTACTAATGTTGTCAAAAACGGACGAGCAAAACCACCCAACAGGGGTAGTAACCCGCTTTACCTACTTTTGGGTTCCTGCACTATAGTGCCGAAATGAGTGAAAAGAACTTAATTTTGTGTACTTTTTTATGAGTGAAGAGAACTAATTTTGGGTACTTTTTTCCAACCGTGTAGGATCACATCCCATTTTTAAATTTATTTACCAGTCAAATTGCTTTTTGACGTAATCACCTTCCGATCAAAATAGTTTTCGATGTTACTTAAGTCACCCGCTTTCTATGAAGATTTGTTTGTTGCTAAGATGATTTCGGTGGTCCTAAAATGATGAATGGGCTGCACGTAAGGAGACGTAATTGATAATTCTCCCGAATATCCTGGTAAATACACTTCGACTTAAGTAACAATAGGGGCCACCAAACGACGTATAATAACTTTTGACTCAAAAACCAGTATTTTTAGCATGAAAGCTAGCGATTTGCATTTGTATGATTAAAACCCTGCTAAATATGTTATACATTGCTAGCACTATGAGATTACATGTGTTTAATTGGGAATAGGAATAACTTTTCGGTCATCAAAACAAAACTTTATTTTTCTCGGATTGGTGCGAATGTTACTTACGACATAATGAAAATCTGCTTTTGAATTATATATCTCCAGTCTGCTGCCGCCTCAGTGCAATAGGTATAAATCGTGTCGCTTGTTTTGTTCTCGACAGTATCGCATCTCCCTTGTTTCCCTGGTCCAATATTAGGCTGGTGTTTAATTAGGGTGATCCAAAAAATATTTTTTTTTTCTTTTTTTCGTATCACTTAGGGTGATCCAAAACTTTGTTAATAGTATATAATCATTTTTTTTATTTTTTTTCTTGATTTTTTTTTCTTTCCCGTGTATTACTCTTTAGTAGAGTGCAACTATATCAACTTGTTTATACATATATATATATATATATATATATATATATATATATATATATATATATATATATATATATATTATTTTATTTTTCTATTTTTTATATAATTTGAAATTACTGTAATTAATTGTAAAAAATTACAAAAAACACCATTGCGGCGATATTTAACCGCAATGGATGAAAATGATAAATGCGGGGGATGGTCACCGGTTACCGATATTTTCAAGGTAACACCAATAAAACTGCGCGATACCGTTGATGACCAAAAGCAGGCTAACCGAATTGTTGCGTGCGAGCTTTTTTCATTGGAATACCGAGTCTACATACCCAGCCCAAGCAACAATTTTGGTTTTATGGGGGTTCTATAGACCATGATTTAGACTTGTAGAGTGCTATAAAACCTCTATAAAATTAGCAATGTTACTTGGGAGTAGTGAGGTAGAAATTGAAGGAGTGGTCACCGAAGCGAGTTTGACTAGTGATGATTTCTTGGGTCCCGATTCCTTCGGAATTTTTAAAAACCGTGCTCTACCACGCTACGATCAGTGTGGCGAGCAGCATCAAGAGGGCCCTTGCGGTGCTCCTCCAAAATGCGTGTACTACAAGGAGAGCCTGCATACCCTGACTGACTGCCCGAGGTTTAAACAGCAGGGAGACAAAATTAAGCGGTCTCTGCAAGCTCGCTCCAAGAGAACAATAGCAGAACTCTTGAAGAATACCACTTCATCTTCTCAGACCACACCAAAAAGCAGTAACACGTTCTCCATTTTGCCAGTTGATGATCTAGACACTTTGTCTTTAAAGGCAATACGAGAAAACGAGCAAAAAACACACCACTGAAAAGCCTCGTAAGGCCACTCGTACGGACCACCCTTCCACCTTGCAAAAATCAAGAGGTAACGGAAATGCACCGAAAACCATTCCACCGGGTTTTAAACCTTGTAATTATGACAAGAACTTTCCGTCACTTCCAGGATCATCTAAAACCCCAGATATCACAGCAGCTGAATAATCAGCAAGAACATGCCCCCATGTTCACGTTTTCTGGTATTGTGGATAGCTTCTTCAGTTGACTCAACGAGGAGCATTATTGATTTAGTGCTGCCAATTGTGAAAACTCTTTTGAAGCAACTATCTTCTAGGTGGTCCTTCCTTGCATCGATCATATCCTTTGATGGATAATTCTCCGAATGAGGTCGGGGATATGATCTCTGTTTTTCATTGGAACTGTAGAAGTCTTATGCCAAAACTTGACACATTTAAATTTTTAGTTAACAACTCACTTTCTGATGCATTTGACCTTTGTGAAACATGGCTCTCTTCAGACAACGATCTTGCATTCCACGATTTCAACATTACTCGCCTTGACCGCGCAGATTCGGATGGAGGGGTGCTTCTGGGGATCAACAAGCTCCATTCCTTCTACAGAATCGATCTGCCTTCGGTGACAGGCATTGAAGTAGTTGCATGTCAGGTTAACATTCGAGGTAAATGCCTCAGTATTGCCTCAGTATATCTTCCACCGAGAACTGCGATTTCTCGTCAAAGTTTCTCTGATATCTGCACGGCTATGCCGGAGCCACGGTTGATCTTGGGAG